CAGTGAGCCACGACAATTTTGCACCGTAAGTGCGCTAAAATACCGCTTCAGGCGCCCGAGTTAGCAAATTCAGGTCAGCTCAGGCCTACTCAGCATCAAATATACAATCTCTGTTACTGGGTCCAATTTCACCAATCAAACTCACGTGAAATTTCCCAAATTTTTGCATCATGTGTTTTTAAATGAATGTAACGAGTGAAAGTGAAACATTTTCAGTTTTATTTTTGTGATGTGTACAAAAATGCGAGAAAAATTTGGCGCAATTGTGTGACCATTTTCATTGTCTTTAAATTTTAAACTATTTTTTTTTAATGAAAAATCTTAAACCAATCTTCCTTGTTCTTAATTTTCTGTTCATTCTAACTAAAATGATAATATTATATCCTAGATTCAAGAGCCCGGCATCTCAATTGGCGCTCTCACATATAATTTAATATCATTTGCATGTCGCAAACTCTTCCCAACGCTGATCGACGAGATTTCACTTGAAGGATGCATGATCGTTTTTGCCGTCAACAGCATCGTGGGATCGCTGTTTATACATTTCATTCTGGACGAAACTAGAGACAAACCGACTGATACAATAACATCCGACGAAAATGTGTAAAAAAAAATTTAACAATTCGACCAAAGTCGAAATAAACAGTTTAACAGAGCAAAGAATCTACGTATCAAGAATACCAGACATAGCTGAAATGAGTATAAGCTTATCAATTTACTACAAGTGACTCACCAAATTACTGTTTATAAAAAGATACGCAAGCTCAAATATACTGAATTAAAAACGAAAATGTGTAATTACACGCTTCTTAGATGTTTTCAGACTTTCAAATTTATATAACCTTGAACTCGATGATAAATGATCGAAATAATTTCATGTCGCAATCTAAAGCAGTGCTATATTCTATATTTTATATATATATAGATAGATAGCTATAATAGCACTTGAACAGCTCGAGCTAGTATCAAATGATACTGAGTGCTCAAATTTGTAAGCAATCATATATGACGTCTCCACTTTAATCAGCTGATATGAAGTTTGTTTACAAACAACTGAAGTCGATATGTGTTTATCGGAGAAATGGGCAAATAAATACTCTGCCATTGTGTTCAACACATAGCTGATGCTGATTAATATCCTGGTCATGTATTGGTGTAAACAACAATCAAATATGGTTCGGGTTTGAAATATTATTCAATTCCTTAGTGTACAATCTACAACGAAATGAGACGACATATCACTTTGCAAGATTTCGCGCGCAATAAACACATTGCAACTTGTACACGTGTATTTGCACCAGACGAATGTATAAGCAAAGCCGTAACCGGTAAAATGTATAAAAGACCAGCCGACTTTCTGGCAATATGCAGCAGCGTTGAGTCAGAGTTAAATTAAGTTCAATTTGATTGATTCGCCCAATAAACGGAGCTTCAGCGCAAAAAATACGTCAACACACATTGATTGTACACACAGCGATACACAAAATATTCACGCCGAACTCGATTGGCCTTCAGTTTAAGTTTGGCTTTTGAAGTGTGAACACCAAAAATACAGAACATTTGAGCGTACATACGAGACCGGTACGGTAGTACTTTTTCTTTTAACTTTTTGTGATTTAGAAATTCGAATTCGAGTGCCATTGTGTTTATTTTTATTATTTTTATTATTATTTTTAGATAGATATCCCCTCGAAAGTGTGCTAAAAGTAAAAAAATTCTCTCTTTTTATAGATAAACGACGTGTATGACGTGATTTTGATCGATTCGTTTTTTTATTATTTTTGAAAATTGTCAAAAGAACGGAGATCTTCGTAATGATTCAAAACGAACGTTCTAAGATGGAACACCAGTCATCTTATCCAGATCAACAATGCAATGGAATGGCGTGTGCAGGTTGTTCAAATGCAGACTTACAACCGAAAATATTCAAGCTGACCATCGATTGTTTCGACGAAATATTCGAGTATTTGTCAATGAAAGATTTGCACTCGCTCGGTCAAACGTGCAAGACAATGCAGCAGGTGTGCGGAAAGTACTTCAAACGGACTTATTCAGCGGCTGAGAAATTCTGCGCAAGGGACGGAATATACACGACCTATTCCAGCATGGGGGGTGACGTTAATCAGCGCATTCAAACATCGTGTTTTAATCAGTTTATGCCCTGTATATCGCATTATTATGGGGCAATTGGACCAATTCATTATCTACAAAAACATGTCAACGAATTTATATCAACCAACCACATTTACCTTGTGTCGCTATTTATAAACCACGAAAAAGTGGAATTAATCAGAGAAATACTACCACAAATCGAAATAATGCAAATAAGAAATTGCTCGATGTCACGGAATTTCTACGAATTGATGCTGAAATATTGTGAAAATTTAAAGTGCATTTATTTGCAGAACGCTGACTCCAGTTTCAATAGCAAGCACGAATGGCTAGTGCAAGATTATCCTCAGCTCGAGCATTTGGAACTGATGCCGAGCTATCCGATCGTAGTGGATGAGCTGAAGGCATTTTTTGAGCGTAACCCGAAGGTGAAACGATTTTCGACCACCGCCAGATTTCTATGGATTAATAGAAATGAGTTTCTGAATTCGAAAGTGCAATTGAATGTATTGGAAATTAAAGCCGAATTCTTCACTGAATTCGATGAATCGGGCAATAAGATAATAATTTGGGATGTATTGAATCGACTTCATGCACAAGGTTTCTACGAGCGATTATTTGTTTACACCGGCCGCGTTGACCAAGAGCTCAGCAATCAATTGGCTTCGGTGAGTGCGAGTCTCGAGACATTATGCATTCGACGGTTTAAATCAAGCTTCAGTTTGCCTCTTTTGAGCAATCTAAAAGAGCTCATACTTTTGGATGGAGCAAATGTCGCTGATATGGCAGTTCTAGCGAAGAGTCTCAAGAAAATCCAACGAATTTATGTCGACAAAGCAACAGTTGACGACATTTTGCCATTTATTCGGCAATCAACACAATTGAGTAAAATCAAATTGTTTCTCAAAGGTGAACAGGAACAACAACGCATTCTTGATGAAAATAATGATGATAATAATAATAATGCGGCATTCAAACGTTGGTATGAAGAAGACGAAAAGAAGAATGAGAATGATAACATCGATAAAGTTGAAGAAAAAAGCGCTTCTAACTGGAGAATCCTGGACTTGGTCGCATTAAATAAGGAACGTAAGAAATTGGTAGGAGCAAGAAAAGTGACGATTTATGTTCGAGACGATGTTTTTTTGGCCACAAAATGGGCTGCTTACAATGGAGATATTAATTTAAGCTTAATCGAAATGAGACGATCTGATTCGTATGAATGGAATCATCACTTTTAAATTCAATATGTGAACGATACTCAAATATGTATAGAAATATATCTAGAATTAAATAAAAATGCTTTGGATTATTTCATCGTTTTATATTTAAATCATGTGTGTCTTTTATTTAATGTTTTTGAAAGCAATGGACTGAGACAATTTACTCGTACGCCAAACAGCTGAAGTGCATTTGAATTCATTTCAAACGGGACAATATGAATCTATCAACAAATGCGATAAATATCACCTTCACTTCGAATCAAACAATTGACGTAAAATGCATTATTATCCACATATGCAAATGTCATTCGCGAAAATCCACTGATGAGTCGACAATCGACATTGTGCTGGCCTTGCATTAAATTTGAGCGTCACTTTTGTTCTTCATCCAATCGAATTTCTTAACTGCGTGTTGATACAAAAAAAATTCCTTTCCGAAACATTAAAAAAAATTGTTCAAATTATATATCGGCGCAATAACAAAAGATGATCTCACATTCACAGTCAACAGCAATCAGCCAACAAAACATCAACACGGAAAAAATGAGTGATAGAAAACGTACAGCAAAAAAGCAAAAACTGTGTCAAGTTGAAGGTCAAAGTGCTGGAACGTCTACTACTTCTACGAATGAACAGCAATCTTTGCCAAAAACATTCAAGCTGCATAGATCCATAGAACATGTGTACCTCTTCGTATGTCAAGTGTACTAATTAATTTCATATGTGCGGTAGATTGAAATGCCACAAAAATTGAACCTCAAATTATGAGAAAACGGACCTGGTACACTTTGTATTCAACTTTGAGACACTGAAGGACACCCAAAGTAAAATTGATATGAACATATCTCAACCCTGGAATCTGACATCGCCAGCAAATTGAATATACATCCTGGACGATATTCGAGTATTTATCAATTGAAGAATTGCATTCATTCGGTTAGACATACAAGGGGATGTACAATTTGTACAAAGTATAGCTGATATGGATGGTGTTTAATCGAATTGACAATCTAATGACATAAATATTTTGGCGAATAGCCTCGTGAATCTTCAACGTCTTTACATGGAAAATGCAACGAATGATCACTTTTTGCCACTCTTTCGACAATCACCGAAATTGGTCAAACTCCGAATATGGATTTATGTATGGTCCATACAGTATGGATCAAGCTACGAACATTATACAAGGAACGCGAACAATCGCCGGGAGCACGCAAAGTTACGATATATGTGAAAGACTATACTTTCTTGAAAACAAAATATACTTTCTTGAAAACAAAAGTTATTTTTGTAAAATGTCCGTGTTGTTTGAACAAACTCTGAAGTTCACACTTAATTGGTGCTTTGGAGCCACTTTGGTTTAATTTAAATACAACTCATTTTATTTGCATTGAATATGATTGATTGCTAGTAAGACGTGTGGCGTATATTCGTGTATCGCTCAGTCGCCAAACATGCACCACGCTCCTATACACAACACAGAGTCTGCGACGATGGAGCGATACACGAGTTAAAGTATCATGTGTCAATTGCGTGCAGTTCTCAGTTGACTGAGTTATCGCATTTAAAACGGATACTGAAATTGATTCCGCTATGACTGAGACATCGGAATCGTGATAGAAAAAGAAAGAAAGAGTGCTATACATTGATTAATATTAAAATTATAGAAAAATTTCTGTAAAGACTTGTATATGGTTTTAAACTTTTGAACAAAAACTGTTGGTTAACGAAAAAGAACATCGAAACTGGTTCCATGCTCATCAACGAAAATTGGAATTAATGCAGAGGCCACAATAATTGTACGAAGTCAGACGCTTTTTTTATAGAGCTGATAGAAGTTGATAAGATAATCACCAATTATTGCATTTTATAAAGTGGCACGTTCACTCATTTTCATCTAAATTCGCACATGTACCATTTGTTGAGATTTGATTGCTGTTGTTTCTAGAAGTGGAATACCTTAATATCAAAATTCATTGATGTCATAAAAAAGAGATAATTCAAATTTTTACAATTCATTTTTGGAATAAACAAACAACAACCAAATGTTCCATTCATTTTGTCAACAGATAAACGAGCCAAATTCACAAATAAAAAAGAAATAAAAAAATCAAAATAAAAATCAAATGACAACTGCGAACGAGTTCTGGCACACAAAGCCCATTTGATGGCCGGTAACAATGTCTTCTTGCCGCAATGTTCAATGGATCGTGGAAGGAAAAGGATGAGGTGAAGATTGGCAATGTATCGGCTTCTGCTTTCAAGGAATTTCTTCAGTTTTTCTACTTTAGTCAAGTGAAGTTGGCGATGGAGAACGTCGGTGCAGTGATGAATCTCGGTGAAATGTACAATGTGACCGAGTGTATGGAGGTGTGCAGTAAGTGTATTCGCTCGTTTTTTTTGTACGCATCTTTGAACGTGTCCTTTTCTGAATGCCACATTACTTGACCTCAAATTGAAATTGATTGTCCCATCTGGACATTGCAAATGTTCACGCCTTGTTGATTTCGCCTTCAAGTAGTGGCACCTTGGTGATGTTCTCACCCAAACGTTTCGGTACACCGATTAAACCAAATGTTTGCTCCGTGTTCAATGTCGCCCCTTGTACTCGAATGATAACGTCGCCGCTTTTCATTACATGGCGACTGTATTCGGTCACTTGGATGATTGCATTCAATGCCATTTTCGTTCCGAAATCCTTTGCCAATGGGTGTGTGAAAATAAACTCAGCCGGTTTTTCCACTGAATCTGACAATGATACATGGGAGCAGTTTGGGTTAAATTCAGTCGCCTTGAATTGTGTAATTTGCAGCAATGGCTCTAACCCAATTTCACCCACGAACATTTCCTGAAATTGGACGTGCTGCTCTTACAGATCGATGTGTGACATTTGACCTTTTTTTCGATGCCATTGTGGATGGTGTTGGACCATGTATGAGAGACCATTTGTTTCCCATAGGCGGAGCATTGCACTCAGGATATTTGAAAACTTTTTATCCATGTGGATAATGCTGATGTGGTTGCTATATTTGAAATGAGAGGAAATTAAATGATATTTCTATACAACTTACATCAAGTTGATTTTATTGCGCTGCAGCATAATCACACGCGCCACATTTGTGCGGTTTATCTTTGCTGTGGACTCTTTTGATGTGTTTCATTAGTTCATATTTTGCTGTTATAGCATAGCTAAACAGGTGTTATACGCTGCAATATGCTTGGGATCGTTGCTACTATGCATGTGAGTCATAAAGACTTTCACATTCGTATGCACATGAATATTTTCATCAGCTGATGGATTTGATGTGCATATGTGGCATGTGCGGACGAACGAGAAAAGTTCGTCTTGAAGAAGAATGGTGTGAAGAAAAGTAAGGAGAAAATTAAATTCAGAGTCAACAATTGTCAATACTTTTATATTCAATTAAGGAGAAAAAAATTGTTCACCGTCGGGCTCAACAGGGAATTGAACCCTGGGCATCGAGCATGTGTGGTCTGTTTTTAACACTCGTAAATTGGTTTCAAATCGAATAGAGTTGAATTAAGCCAACAGGTCAGAAAGACAAATTCAACCTTTTTATATTTGGACAAAAGTGGACATGATTTATCTGTATTTTCATGGGTTCCAGTATTTTGTTTGGCTTTCGTTATGTTCATTGCTTCTGCTGGCATTGTTGCACTATCTGCAATCGTTAAAACAGAACACTTACTGACCAAGGTATTGAAATTTATTTTTTTTTATTCTATTCTAATTCAATCTAACTAAATGATAATATTATATCCTAGATTCGAGAGCCTGGTATTGCGATTGGCGCTCTTACATATAATTTAATATCATTTGCATGTCGCAAACTCTTTCCAATACTGATCGATGAGATTTCACTTGAAGGACGCATGATTATTTTTGCCGTCAACAATATCGTGGGATCGCTGTTTATACATTTCATTCTGGACGAAACTAGAGGCAAACCGATTGATACTATAAAATCCGATGAAAATGAGAAAAAAGACCAACAGTTTGACCAAAGTCAAAAAGTACAGCTATAAAGGAGCAAGGAATCTATACGTATCAAGAATACCAGACAGAGCTGAAATAAGTATAAGCTTATCAAATCACTACAAGCAACTCACTAAAAAATTATGTGTATAGATACACAAACTCAAATATACCAACATATTTGCTCCAAAATAAAAACGAAAATGTGTAATTACACGTTTCTCAGACGTTTCTAGAATTTCAAATTTATAAAACCTTGAACCAGATAATAAATGCTCAGAATCCGAAACAGTGCTATAAATAGCTATAATAACACGTGAACAGCTCGAGCTAGTATCAAATGATACTGAGTATTAAAATCTATGACGTCTCCACTCTAATCAGCTGATATTTGTTTACAAACATGAGGATGGACACCAATGCTAGTTTTCTAGTTTGCCGCTAATTTCGTCTAGTATTCCAGTCGATTTTAATGTAAACAAATTCATCGTTCAAAACATATAGATAACAATGTGATTTATATAGAAAATTTGCTTCCAGTTTAAGACATAAATTTCAAATGGAAATAATTGTTTTCGTTATTTCTCGTTGTTTGTGAACAAATATGCCTATCTTAAAGCACTGTCAATATATTTGTTGCGACAATTGCAACACCGTAAAGAATTTATAGAACGCGTGTATGAAGATAAGCAAATAGTAACAAATAACAAAACGGAAAATAACAAAAACAAAATACTTTATTGGAAATGCACCGGATCTATATACAGATGATAATATACACATTATTTACGTCAGCATTTAAAATACATTATCCCATTCAAGGTGGTTATGAGTCATAACTTATGACTTACTAACTTTTACTTAATTTTATGTGGACTTGAAAAACCTAGCTAGTGGTGTCCATCTCCATGAAAACTGACTGTAATATCTGTGAAAGTCAAGAAAATGTTCCAATATGCACCGTAATCTAGCTCGAATTCGACGTTGAATGCATCAATTTCCTTGGGATCCCCTTTAAATCCCTTGAAATACCTTAGAGATTTTTCCGCTTCCTATTTTTATGGCGGCCACATTTTCGGTGTCATTAGCATCAAAATTCAAACAAAACCAAT